ACCCAAACAAAACAAAACAAACCCCCCCACAAAAATACACAAAAAACCAACCAACCAACAAACAAAACAAACAAACAAAACAACCAACCAGCTCGAACCTTCTTTCTGTCAGCAAATAGCCTGGATCGATAACAACATCAGCAAATAGCTACCTTAGACTAGAAGTTCTATCTGCTCAGTTCCGACTTTTGAGAAATTTGACGTAGAAATGTTTGCCAAGCTTTACTTTTCATGCTAAGTACCTCTCTTTGCAACATAATCAAGTATTAAAATGAGTCGTAGGGCCTACATTTTTTTCAACCCAAATTTAATTCAAAGAACCAATTTGTTGCAAAAAAAAAAAAAGTAAAAGTAAAATGCCCCTATCAAGACTATCAGGTTATTTAAGAGGCAGGGACTCCGATTTTAAACTCCGTCCTCTATAGGACAGAGCCAAATAAGTTAAGAGTCTTGAAAACCTCTTCAAGAACCTCCAGTGAACTCCCAGTCTAGGATTTGAACCAGGATCGTCCGCTCCATAGCCCAGTATGATACGGAGTACCTGCAACTTGTTGGGAACGCCTCAACAAACTAACCTTACTATAGTCAAGTGCACTTGGCACCTTTTCCCCTTGCCCACTCTTTGGCTACAATGGCGCGTCCCATAGTAGTTCCGGAAATACGTCAGTGTACGCAGTCTAGGAATTAAAGTCTTTGGGACCCAGCCAAGGTTCTATCAAGGTTCTATTTAAAGCCTCCTTGGACACAGCCAGCCAGAAGCAAACCAAAGATCGTGTATAGTAGAGAATCTTTGAGCAAACAGTTTACACCAAACCTGCAGACCTGCAGGGAAGAGTTACTTATGCCGCAGTCCTAAAAGCATTTCGACGATTTGTTGACGTCTGGTATAAAACAATTTCTCAGTGTCTCTAGAAGCAGTATGTTATAAGATCTATGTAGACTCTAGTCTTGGGAGAGAGCCGTGGGTTAGTGGTTGGTCCAGCTTCTTCCACATCCAACCTCTTTACCTTTTATAATATATCGGTATTACTCTTTTCCGACACTGGAATTAATGATAAACCTTTCTATCTGGTTCTTTTTAGTACTGTTATTTTGTAAAACGAACTAAATAAATGATGAAGAGTGAAAGTGTGTGTATGTCATGTGTATATGTTTGTGTGTGTGTGTGTGTGTGTGTGTGTGTGTGTGTGTGTGTGTGTGTGTGTGTGTGTGAGGTGGGGTGGGGAGTGTCAGTTTAAGGGGGAAGGGGAGGGGGAGGGGGAGGGGGAGTTTCTGGGATGTTTGCAACAGTGACTCAATGAAATAATTCTTATAACTGAGCCCTTTATTTTTTTTAATCAAAAAGGTGAAAATCTTACAAGTCTTGATTTAGCTCCAAAAAAAGAAGAAGATATTGACAGGGTTGTCTAATGCTGAAAGGTTTTCAGTCTGCACTTGCATAATTATTTGGTAGACTGCGTCTTCTCATTTTACTTTGTAAATTTCTCCCCCCTCCCACTTCTCCATACCCCTCGTCCCTCCCCCTCCCTGGCCACAAAAGTCTCGTAAAAATTAGTAGGGTAATGAGCTCTGATTTCCTCATTACAGCACACTGCCACTTCCGCCTCACACATCTGCGCATTCTCGCAAACATCGTAAAAAAACCCAACCAACAAGCAACAAACAAACAACACATTAAAAAAAAATCACGTTACTCCAATCGCATACGACTGCTTATGGCGTAAACATTTGATTTTAAGATAATTATTTCTTCAACTGCGCACGATCTACTGCGCATAAACGTGAACAATGTTATAATTAAGTAAAAAGCATCACTGCGTCTGCTCACGATCTGTCTCTCACATTACTGCGCTTGCTCCGAACGTGAACAGTAATAATATTAATATAATTAAAAGTATCACTGCGACTGTGCACGATCTGTCTTTCACACTACTGCCCATGCTCCGAACGTGAACAATATTATAATTAAAAAGTATCACTGCGACTGTTCACCAACTGTCTTTCACACAACTGAACATACTCGAAACAGGAACAATATTATAATTAAAAAGTATCACTGAAACTGCGCACGATCTATTTCTCACACTAATGCGCATAAACGTTGACCATTATTGTTTCAATGTTCTTCTCTTTACTCAAACAAACAAACAGACACACACACAAACAAACAAACAAACAGACACACACACAAACAAACAAACAAACAGACAAAAAATCAATCAAACAAACAAACAAACAAGAAAACAAACAAACAAACAAACAGACAAAACGCATGAAAGTGAACATTGTTACAATTAAAAAGTGTCACTGCGACTGCGCACGATCCGTTTCTTGAAGGCTTTCTTCATGCTGTACAGGCGAGACTTCTTCTCCAGAGCCACCACGGTCTCTGGCTGGGTCAGGCTCTTCACCAGCTGTCTCTTCATCAACACCATCAGCTCCTCCACCGCCTCGTTCACCCCGTCTTGGCCCTGAGGGGAGGGACATGAGATGACTGGGTGAGGAGTTTTAACATACACAAGTGGCGGTTCGTTGTATATTATTTATTATTCTGTTCAGGCTCTTAAAAAAAAATTGTAAATATTTTACAAAAAGCGCTCTCAACTGCAGAAGGTCAAAAGGACGCGCGATACACATTAAACATTTTCAGTTCGTAGGAAATTTTGAAATTTTCCTGGGTGGCGGTCGAAGCCTACTCTTATCGCTTTTGGACCACCAAGTTTCAAGCTCTATTGTAAAAGGCGAAAAGATAATACTGTAAAATACGTTCAGATATTAGATTAACACGCATGCAAAGCACATCATAAGAAACACATTATGTAGACCAAAAGTTAAAATATAACATAATTTTCACCTACCTCAGCGACAGAGATCTGAAATCTGGGGCAATCCATCTCTGCAGCAAGGTTGTCACACTCGTCCTCCGTGACTGCACGCGCAGTGAGCAGATCGTGTTTGTTTGCCACCAGCACCAGGGGCAGCTCAGGACCCCGTAGGTTGAACACTTGGTCCTGGAGGGGGACACGGGTATCTATATGTCTGTTTGTTTGT